TTGAGAGTTTGCAGCAGCTTCCAGTATTCTTATATTATCATGCTTTGACGTCCCAGATAGGATGTTCTGGCACGATGTGGGAATGTCAGGGTGCAACAATCACGTTGATTCGCGGTGTTGAAGTCCCAGGAATATTGTTCTGGCACGGTTCAGGATCGTCAAGACGCAACAGTGACGGTCGTTCGCGGCGTTGAAGTCAGGAATACTCTTCTGGCACAGTTCTGGATTTCCGAACGGCTGTCTTCCAACCGGGCATCTCTTCCGGTGAAGATGAAGCCCTGTATGGGGCCTGCGCAGAGGGGCCTTGGGAGGGAGGGTGTCTTGCAGCATCGTTGGTGCGTCTTGGGTCTGCACTGGTCCTCCTCCTCCTCCCGCCCACCTCTCTCGCTCCCCGCTTCCTGGCTCCTCGCGGAGCCCGAGGCAGACTGCACTGACGGCAGCGTGCCAGCGGCACCGTGAGAGCCCTGCGGGCGCCCGCCCCCCCCCGAGAGGCCGGGGCCTCGGCCGTGGCCTCGGAGGAGCGCCGCTTCCTCTGAGGCTACGGCCTCTGAGGCCCAAGGCTCTCTTTCTCTTCCTTCCCCCGCCAACCCCCCTCGAGGATCGGAGGATCGGAGGATCGGAGGATCGGAGGATCAAGGATCGGAGGTTTGGAGGATGGAGGATAGAGGATCGGTGGGTCGAGGATCGAGGATCGGAGGGTCGGAGGATCGAGGATCGGAGATCGGAGGATCGGAGGATCGAGGGTCGAGGATCGAGTGGTCGAGGATCGAGGAAAGAGGATCGAGGATCGGAGGATCGAGGATCGAAGGATGGAGGATCGAGGATCGGAGGAGGGAGGATCGTGGATCGGAGGAGCGATCGAGGATCGATCGAGGATCGAGGACCGAGGATCGGAGGATGGAGGATGGAGGATCGATCGAGGATCGATCGGGTCCTCCAGCGCCGGCCCGTGGCCGCGGCCCGAGGGTGGCCGCGCTGCCGCGGGGGGCCCAGGGCGGCGTGCCCGCGGCGCGCGGGTGCCCAGGCTGCGCCGCGGCGGTGCTCGCCGGGCAGGAGGGGAGCATCCCCGGAGGGGGACAAGGTATTCCAGATTTCGTAATAAAGGGAGGGGGGTCTCATTTCGGGGGGGGTCTCTTCCAAGCTATCTTGGAGGGCCTGGGGGGGTCTGGGGACGATGTTTTGGAGGGTTCTCCCACGGGGGGGGGTCTGAGATGGCTTGTCTTGGAGGGTCCTGACCCCCTCCCTTTTATTACGAAATCTGGAGTAATTTGCGCGCTGTGAGAACATCGCGACGGGAGGTTTTCCGCTGTTGTCGGCTTCCGGGGGCCCTTACTGGGCCCCGGGACCGTCAGAAAGCGACTCAGGATGAAGAACCAGTCATGCGGAAAGGGTCCAGACATCTCGGGGTCGACTTTTGAGCAAAATCACGACGTGGGGGGTTGGGGAAGATACCGCTACCGCTGCCCTTCCTTCGTTTTCGCCTTTTTGGGCCTCCTGGGAGGCCCTCGTCGCCACCGCTGGATTCGCCTCGAAGTCCTGTTCAGAACGAGCCCCGGGAGAGGTCCTGGGAGCAGCGGTATCCTTTTTTTGCTTCAGTTCCCCCCCCAACTCGGCGCAATCACACGTAAGCGCTGATTTTCGCCAGAGTGCGGGAAAATCTGGGAGATGGAGTGGCAGAGGACACTCCAGGAAATATGGACAGTTCGTGGGAATTCTGGGATTCGCGTCGATCTGCTCGTGCCTCCCTGGGTCCCTCTGGATGGCAGAGCCTGCGCCGCGGGCTGCACATGTGCTGAAAGGGCGCTTCGGGGGGCTTTCTCGCCGCCGTGGCCTTCGGCAGCCCTGGCTGGCCCCGTTCCCTGTGCCGGCTTCTGTGGCTGACCGGGGCGCGCTTGCTCGTGCCATTTCCTGCGTTGTGTGTCGGTATCGTTTAGCCGATCCCCATCCCCTTCGAGACCCCCACCAAATTGCTGCCCGAGTTGGGGATACACCCTTCGAAACTCGAAGAGAACGACCTGGGCCAGCGGGGCCCAGGCCACGCCGCTGGAGATAGGGATCGGTTAAACGATACTCGGTGTGGCATTCTGTTTTTCGCTTGCGGATCTGCTGTGTGACGTGCGGTTGCGATTGCTTGGAATCAGTGCAGAAAGTTTGCAGCGTGTGCACTACCATTTCTCTGACTTTCCTGCTCTCCGGAACTAGCGCTCTGTGAGATCCGCTGGCAGCTGATTAACCTGGCTCCCTCTGCCTGACCGTATTGTGTGTGTGTGGGTGTGTGGGTATGTGTGTGTGTGTGCTTGTTCGTTTATTACGTTTCTTGGCACTTCCATCAGCGTGTCGTGAGAAACAATGTATTCGCATGAGTGCGCATGAGTAGTGGACCATGTAATGCAGGTCGTGTGCCTTCTCTTATGTTGAAGTGCTCTCGCTTTGTCGTGCCACGTCTTTTCGTTTTGTTGAACTCCACTGCTTTCTATCCCGAAGTGACTTGCAGCTAAGCTCCTCCCGCTTCTGAGGTCCAATCCCTTGCGCCACTATTTTGTTTGCTTTTGGCCCACGCCTCCACACGCTACTCATGCCAAGGTTCCACGAGTGGCCAGCCGAGGCTCTCGAGGCTGTCGCAAACCAGTTCTTGAGCAAAGACAAGGACACTAGCCTTTGCAATGCTTGCGCACATATTTCAGAACTTCGCTTTTGGCGTATTCGCAGGTGTGTGGTTGTCGAGAAGCTTTCAGCTGTTTCGAATTGCATTTTCATCGCCAGATGCTCCAAGCCGACCTGCTATGCTCTCCGCTGGAATGAGGTAATGTTCGAGCTTCGTCAGCCGTGTGATGACGTGGTGTGCAGTCGGTGTCGATCCCATCTGTCATGAGACTGCGGTCCGGGACCTGACCATGCATGCACGCGGTGCAGGTCCTTTCGATTGCGGCCACTAGCGTTTTTTTCTGGTGCTGAGGCATTCTTGACCTGTCGCGTATCCCCAGCAGCCCATCCATAAACGAATACTTGGCGAGTTTTTGTAAGAGGGGCACTGGGGGAGCATTCGTGAAACAGAGAGGGGCACACAAGTCAGACCGGAGGAATGATCAGCCCAAGCAGGCCTTTGAGACAGCATGGGCTTGTCAATACTACCTCATTGTGTTTTGGGTGCGCGCTTGGCTTAGCTTTGCGTTACCCCGGTCGTATTGGCTTTCGATCACCGCACGTTTGTTCATCACATCATCCCATAGTTCAGTGCAGCGCAGCGTAAGCGACCTCAGCTGTACATTGCTTTGCGTGACTTGTGTGAGTTTTCCTTAGCGTAGTGTAGCTCAGGTGAGCTTATCCGTAAGGGCTTCGCCCCCTGCCGCCGGCCCCCTCTCTCGGAGAATGGGCCATGGAAGAGCTAAGTCATGAGGCTTTGGCGCTGTCGTGCAGCAGTATCGGAACTTCATGCGAGGCCGATTCGCAATCGGCAAAACCAACTGATCACAAGAGGGGTTACCACACAGGGCGATTGGTAAGACGTGTATGGTTTATGAGCTTGGTTACCACACCTTGGGATTAAAGGGCCGAGGGAGTACTCGCAGTTTGGGTTACCACGCCTTGCGATGGATGTGCGTGAGGGGTGGCACCGAATTTCAGAAATGTGGCAAATCCCATGTGTTTTTGGACCCTGACCCCGCGGATCTGCGTGAGGGGTGGCACCGAATTTCAGAAATGTGGCAAATCCCTGTGTTTTTGGACCCTGACCCCGCGGATCTGCGTGAGGGGTGGCACCGAATTTCAGAAATGTGGCAAATCCCCTGTGTTTTTGGACCCTGACCCCGCGGATCTGCGTGAGGGGTGGCACCGAATTTCAGAAATGTGGCAAATCCCCTGTGTTTTTGGACCCTGACCCCGCGGATCTGCGTGAGGGGTGGCACCGAATTTCAGAAATGTGGCAAATCCCTTGTGTTTTTGGACCCTGACCCCTGTGTTTGTGGACCCTGACCCCGCGGATCTGCGTGAGGGGTGTCGATTTCGAGCCCCCCCAGCAATTCAGACAACGCGCCCAGGGGGTGCTGAAAAATCCTGTTTGGGCCTCCCCCGCCCTCGCCCGGTCAATCAACTAGTTACAGTAACCAGCAAGAAGCAGAACTGTAACACTGGAAACTACAAGCTACAACTGGTACTGGAAACTGCGAACCCGCGCCTACAGCCTGGTGGCCCCACAAGGGGGCCGGCGGATTTCATATTGTGTCGTCTTGGCTTAGCTGCTTGACATGTTATAGCTTAGAGTAGCGTGGTCTTGCAGAGCTGAGCTCAGCTTGATCCCGCCTGATCCGGCTGAATCTGGCATAATCCGGCGAATCCGGCTTAATCCCGTTTAATCCGGCTTAATCCCGCTCAATCCGAGGCCCACTCCGGCGTGACAGCCCCTCAATGAGGCTTAATCTTCTTTAATTCATCCGACGACGACCTCCCAGTAGTTGCCTCCTAACCCGCCTGGGGAGCTCTTGGAGGCCTCTGGGGCCCTGTGAGGGTCTCTCTGGCCCTTCTGGTGGGCCCGCTTGAGTCATCTCGGGGCCATCCAGATGCCACAGGCGCCGAAAAGGCGAACATCACTTAACATGATAGGCTTCTCAATGATCTTGGCCTCTCGGGCGCATCCTTGGGAGGCTCGGGGGCCACCTCCGAGCCATCGCGGGAGCTCCGCCTCCTCCTCCTCCTCCTCCTCCTCCTCCTCCTCCTCCTCCTCCTCCTCCTCCTCTGGGGAACCTCTGGGCCAACCTGGGCCTTCTTGCGACATCGATCCAACCTATAGGGCTGTCTTGGGTAATCTCGGACCATCTTTGGCGCGCCACCGCCTCGCCCACCCTGGTAGCACCCTCCCCGACTGTGATGGAGTGGATGACTTTGGGTGAGCGGGAATCAGGGCCCTGGCCAGGCATTGTGGTGGTGTATCTCGGTGCCTTCGGCGTGATAAGACCTCCACCCCTTGCTTTCTCGCAGCCTCGGCCACTCGGGTCCCTGGTGCCACCACCGAGCGACCCTGGGACGAACAAAGCTGGCCCCAGGGGGGCTGTCGAGAGCCCGAAGCCCTCCGGGAAAGGCAGCGTTGCGCCGTCGGAGGTGCTGGACCGTGAGGAGGGAGGCCGCGGGCGGTCCTCAGCCAAGTGGTCGCACAGGTCGGCCGGGCCTCCTGCGGGCCAGAGCGGCTCTAACCAGGGCTATTGATGGGCCTGTTTTCCACCACCACCACCATAGGTTGGATGGGGGAAGGACGAGGAGGAGGAGGAGGAGGAGGAGGAGGAGGAGGAGGCTGCGGCCACGAGGGCGCACACGATCGTGCCAGCCGCGCTTCGGTGCGTCGGCGTATTGGTCCTTGTGGCTGGCTTCGCCCCTCTGTCCCGTCGCTGGCCCCCCCCCGCAGCGCCCCTCTGATTGTCCTCTGCCTCCGCCCGAGGCCTCTCTGCAGTTGTTCGCCGATGCCCGGCGACCGGGCGGAGGGCGCGCCGGGAAATCGGCGGGGCAAGCCGGGATGCTCCGAAGACGCGCCGGGGAGCGCCGGAAACGAGACAAGCGGGAACTCTAGGAATGGGGGGAACAGCAACACGATGATCTGGATTTTCGGAGCTCTGGTTTCGATTGCTTCGCCCCGTCGATTTGTTCGTGCGCCTTGACCCTCCCACAGCCTCTCCCCCGCTCTCTCCGCAGGACCTCGAGTTCGACGATGCCATCAGGACCAACGTGGTCAAGGTCATGGTGGACACGCAGACCACTGTGACCGACCTGTCCGAGAGGCCCGCGGGGAGGAGCAGGAAGAGGAGGAGGAGGAGCAGGAGGAGGAGCAGGAGGAGGAGGAGGAGAAGGAGGAGGAGCAGGAGGAGAAGGAGGAGGAGGAGGAGGAGGAGGAGGAGGAGGAGGAGGAGGAGTAGGAGGATATTGATCATGCTGATGATAGTGACGGAGAGGGGGGGGAGAATGATCACAACGAGGATGGCGGAGGAGAGGGAGGAGGACGGGAGGATGAGGAGGGAAAGTATGAGGATGAGGATGAGGACGATGAGGATGATGAGGAGAACGAGGATAATGAGGATGATGACGCTGATGGTGATGCTGATGATGATCATGATGATGACGATGATGATGAGGATGATGAGGAGTGCTGCTGCTGCTGATGCTGATGCTGATGCTGCTGATGATGACATGATGGTGGTGGTGATGATGAGGAGGGGGAAGGCGGGATGATGATGATGATGATGATGATGATGATGATGATGATGATGATGATGATGATGTTGATGACGATGATATGATGTGATGATGATGCTGATGTTGATGCTGATGGTGATGATGATGATGATGATGGTGATGATGATGATGCTGATGATGATGATGCTGATGATGATGATGATGATGATGATGATGATGATGATGATGATGATGATGATGATGATGATGATGATGATGATGATGATGATGATGATGATGATGATGATGATGATGATGATGATGATGATGATGATGATGATGATGATGATGATGATGATGATGATGATGATGATGATGATGATGATGATGATGATGATGATGATGATGATGATGATGATGATGATGATGATGATGATGATGATGATGATGATGATGATGATGATGATGATGATCATCATCATGGTGGTGGTGGGAGGGGGAGGAGGAGGATGAGGAGGCCGACGGCGCCTCGGCGAGGTTCCTGGTGGAGCTCAAGCGGTACTACTACGTGACGCCGACGTCCTACCTGGAGCTGATCAACTCCTTCATCAGCACTCTGAAGAGCCGCCGGCAGATTGTGCAGAAGGAGCCTCCTCTAGTTGCCTTTCCATGGTCGACGTGAAGCAAGCAGGTCCTGAGGATAACTGGTCCTGAGTTTTTCTCCGTCCGTAGCCTCTCGGGGCTCCACACAGGTCCTGAGGATAAAACGGGTCTTGAGGCTTTCTCCGTTTGTGGCCTCTCGGGGCTGCCCACGGGCCCTGGGACTGTCAACACAACTGCTCAATATGAAGCTCTGATACTGGGGAACCGCCCCCATGTCCAGGACCCGTCTTCTCCAGGCCTCGTTTCTTCCATGCTTCTTGAGTCGTCGAACACATGGCCCCAAGAGCCCTGACTACTTCAGGCGGCTATCCGTCGTATTCGACAGTATCGGTGAGAACGAGGAGGATGACGAGAAGGAAAGGAGGAGCAGGAGGAGGATGAGGACGGGGACGTTTTATTGTATGTGGCTCCCTCTGGGGCCACGAAACGCTGTACTGGGCGCAGGAACCGCATGCGGACTGCGCCACTAAGACTTTCGGTGGAGCTCCCTCTGGGGCCACGAAACGTTGTACTGGGTGAGGGAACCGCATGCGAATTGTGGAGGAAGGAGGAGAGAGGAGGGGGAGGAGGATGAGGAGGAGGAGGAGGAGGAGGAGGAGGAGGAGGAGGAGGAGGAGGAGGAGAATGAGGAGAGGAGGAGGAGGAGGAGGAGGAGGAGGAGGAGGAGAGGAGAGGAAGCGAGAGGAGTAGAAACGCGGGGCGCTGTCTTTCTAAAATGAGGACCCAACACCACAGGATGGTTGGGACAAACGAAACATAGACAGGGGTCGTGGCCGCGGGATCTCGGTTTTATTTTTTTTGACGAGGGATCCTGGGCTCGGGAATGCATGCAATTTTGCGGTGGTATGGGGGCGGGGCCCTTTATTAGCATGCACAGTGGCGGATATTGACAATGGCGGGGGGAACAAGGATGAGAAAAGGATGACCAGTGTAAGCCCAAGATGTATCAACGATGCTACAAGATACCCTTCCTACAAGTTCCCTCTTCATATGCTCCATCGGAGAATTTGGTTTCATTACGGGAAGTGGCGCATTGGAAGACAACTCTCCAATCGCCCTCAAACACCACCATTCCTTGACAGCCGACGCCGCAAATCAACGTGTTTGTTGCGTCCTGAAGTTCCCAGTTCTTACCAGAACACAATTCCTTGGACTTCAACACCGCGAATCAACGTGCCTGTTGCGTCCGGTCAATCTTGAGCCGTACCAGAACATCGTTCCTGAAGAGGTTGCGAACTTTTGAGACGATTGCTCCTGTGAGCCACCATATGAATCCTTACGACGGTTGCGAACTTTTGAGACACATGTGCGCGGCGCTCAGGCAAGAGCCACATTTTGAACAGGAACCGCCCTTCATCCGTGAAACTATTGCAAACTGCGAGGGTACACGTACGCTGCGCAAAGGAACCGCCCTCCATCAGTGAATCCGCTGCAAACTGTTACGACACATGTGCGTGGCGCTCAGGCGAGAGCTACATATTCCAAAGGAATCGCCCTTCATCCTTGAAGCTGTTGCGAAATTTTAAGACGAATGTGCGCGGTGCTAAGGCGATAGCCTCATTTTGAAAGCCACCCAACCTCAAACTCTTTGAAGTTGTTGCAAACTTTTGAGACGATTGTGCGGGGCGGGCGCGGAGGCGAGAGCCGCATTCTGAAAACCATCCGACCCCCATACCGGAAGCTGTTCCACACTTTGAAAATGAATGTGCGCGGCGCTGACGCGAAAGCCACATCTTGAACGCCACCCACCCTCCACTCTGTGTATTGTTACAAACTTTTAAGACGAATGTGCGCGGCGCCAACGTGAGAGCCACATTTTGAAAGTCACCCGACCTCCATCTTTGAAGCCGTTCCACATTTTGAGCACGAATGTTGTGCGCGGCGCTGACGCGAGAGCCACTTTTCATCAAAAGCCACCCGCCCTCCATCCTCGAAACTGCTGCGACCCTTTCAGACGAGTGAGCGCGGCGCTACGGCGAGAGCCACATCTCGAAAACCATACGCCCTCCATCCTTGGAGCTGCTGCAGATCCCAAGCTTCAGGATCATGAGTGGTGAAGAGGAAGGCTCAGGCGAAACGCCCGGCCCGCCCCACCCGCACGCCTTGGGGGTGCGACAGTGAGGAGGAGGAGGAGGAAGAGGAGGAGGAGGAGGAGGCGGAGGCGGAGGAGGAGGAGGAGGAGGAGGAGGAGGAGGAGGAGGAGGAGGAGGAGGAGGGCTCGAGGAGGAGGCAGAGAGGAGGAGGAGGAGAGGAGGAGGCGGAGGAGGAGGAGGAGGAGGAGGAGGAGTAGCAGGATGAGGAGGAGGAGGAGGGGAGGAAGGATGAGGAGGAGGAGGAGGAGGCTGGAGAGGAGGAGGAGAGTGAGGATGAGGAGGAGGGGGAGGAGGAGGAGGAGGAGGAGGAGGAGGAGGAGGAGGAGGAGGTAGGACGACGACGAGGAGGGAAGGTGGAGCAGGCGGGGACGGGGAGGCCCTCTGCAACACTCGATCCCCTTTGGTTTAGCGAAGTTCAACTCGGGGCCCCCCGTGGGGGCTGGAATGTCTACATCTTTGCACATGTGCGCGCACTGCAGGTCGTACATACCGAATGTTTCATCTGATGTGTGTCGGTGTCGAGCTCATTTCGACCCGTGGCCCGATGCAGGTCCTGTCCAGTCCAGTCCTCCTTCCTCCCTCATCATCTTCGTCGTCCTCCTCCTCCTCTCATCCTCCTGCCCAGGGCAGCCGAGTGGCTCCCCACCCCCGCGCCAAGGGGAATCTCGGGCGGCTGGGCGTCGGTCCGCGACCTCCTCCTCTCATCCTTCTCCTTCTCCTTCTCCCCTCCTGGGAGGAGGGACGCTGGCCTGCCCCCGTGGCACTTCTGCCGGTGGCCAGTCCCGGGCAGGCGCCCCAGCGTCAGCCCCGGGAGGGCGCGCCGAGCTGCCTGGCGGCTGCGCTGGCCCCGGATGTGCGCCGCGAGTGAGAGGGCACGCACGGGAAGCCCCCAGGAGGCTCACGGGAGGGATACGGGCCCAGGGCACCTGTACAGAGGGAGCTCCTAAAGCAGACAGTGAGGAGGAGGAGGAGGAGGAGGAGGAGGAGGAGGAGGAGGAGGAGGAGGAGGAGGAGGAGGAGGAGGAGGAGGCATTAATTCGGCGAGCTTGGTCGGGGAGCCCTGCCAGCAGCGCGGTGTGTGCGCCGCAGGGGGGCGGTCACGCTCTCCGGGTGGGCATCCCGGCGAGCTTCCCTGCAGCAGCGTGGGCGGCGCGCGCTTGGCATTGGAGGGGCTCGATGTACTCAGCCACGTGCAGAGGGGCTCGACTCCTCCTCCTCCTCCTCCTCCTTCTCCTCCTCCTCCTATTCCTCAGCCACGCGCAGGGGGGTATTGGGGAGGGGGGAAGGCTTTTTAGAAGCACCCCTGCTCCTTAGCAGGTGCGGGGCTTGTCTGTAGATGCCAGGCCCGCGCCTTCTAAGGAGCAGCCTCCTTCTAGGAGGCCTTCCTCCCTCCCCCTACCCCCTTGTGCGCGCAGACAACACGTCGTTTGGTCGACCAAGGAGGCAAAGGAGCTCGGCGAAGGCGCTCGGTGTACAGACGCTCCAGCATCCCACAGTTCGAGAAGCTGGTGTGTGTGTGTGTGTGTGTGTGTGCACCGAGCTCCGTGGTCAGCCGAGCGACGTGGTGTGTACGTCGAGTCCCTGCCAGTGGACACCCCGGCTCCCCTGGGGGTGGGCCTGGGCCCATAGGCCAAGTGGCGGTACGACACCGGCCTCGAGAAGATCAACGACGCCAAGGAGCAGGCCCCGTACGCCGCGGGCGGAGGCAGGAGGAGCAAGGGTCCTGGCCCCCAGAAGGGGCCAATGGGGGCAGGAGGAGGGGGAGGCGGAGGTGGAGGTATGGGGGGGAGGGGGGAGTCCAGCGCCGATCCCAGAAGTCCCTGTGCGGACCTCGGAAAAGGTTGCGTGTGGGCAGTTTTTTTTCGGTTCCTCGGCCAGGAGCGGGCCGGACCTTTGCCCTGCCCTCCCCCCCCAGGGATGGGTTTGGGGAGAGGGGCTGGCGTCTCGCCCCCCAGCGGGCCACGCCAGCGGGTCGGTGGGGTCTCGAGGAGGGGTCACCCTCTTCCTCTCCCTCTTCCTCCTCGACCTCTTTCTCCTCCTGCTCCTCCTCCTTTTCCTTCCTCCCCCTTCCCCTCCTCCCTTCTCCCTCCTCCTCCTGCTCCTCCTCCTTCCCTCCTCCTCCTCCTCCTCCTCCTCCTCCTCCTCCTCCGCCTTCCTACCTCCTCCTCCTCCTCCTCCTCCTTCATCCTTCTCCTCTTTGCTCCTTCCGCTGCGCCTCTCTTTTTGGAGAGTGTGCGGCCTTGTCCTGTGGGAGTGGGGGCGTGCCGGGGAGGGGGCTGTAGCGCGCCCGTCTTTGGGGCCGTCTGCGGCTGGTGCCAGGGGCAACCTTAGAGGGGGATAGGCATCGGCACGGGGGGATGCATCGAACCCCAATCGCCCACTGATCGCCCATGGGGGCCCGACAGCCCCAACCTGCCCATCGGGGGCCTGCCGCCGATCCGTCGGCGATGCACCGCCGACTCCAGGACGACGCTCCCCCCCACCACCAGTGCCGGTCCCCCCCTGTCGTTGCCCTCCGCGGCGTGTGCCCGACAGGTCTCCGCCCTGCAGATCCAGCTCAACGAGCTGGAGCCCGTGCTGGAGAAGGCGGCCCAGGAGACAGGCGACGCGGCTCCCGCCGGAGTCCTCGCTGCGAGGGCGGCGGGCGGCTGCGGCCGGCTCCCTCCTGCGCGTGCGTGGTGACCTCGGGCCCACTCCGCCGAGGAGGAGGAGGAGGAGGAGGAGGAGGAGGCGGAGGAGGAGGAGGAGGACGAGGAGGAGGAGGAGGAGGAGGAGGAAGAGGAGGAGGAGGAGGAGGAGGAGGAAGAGGAGGAGGAGGAGGAAGAGGAGGAGGAGGAGGAGAGGAGAGGAGGAGGAGGAGGAGGAGGAGGAGGCGGAGGGGAGGAGGAGAGGAGGAGAGGAGGAGGAGGGAGGAGAGGAGGAGGAGGGAGGGAGGAGGGAGGAGGGAGGAGCCCAAGGGTTGCGCTTGCATCGTCGTCTCTTTGTCCCACCGTTGGCCCCAGACCCTGTGGGGTTGCTGCCCTGATTCCGCCGCAAGTGTTTCCACGTGTAGGGTGCCACGCGCGAACCCTACCTCTCGCCCCCCCCACGATTTCAGAGGGGGTAGGGGTACGGTTGATGGACAAAATCCTGCACCAGCCTCTCAACTGGGGCGACGGCGCAAACTTCCACGCGCTCCCCTGCCCCCGATTCAATGTGGGTTGGCCGCGCCCGCGGGGCGCAGCATTTAGGCCAGTCGGCGGATCGACAAATCGCGCCACAGCCTGCCAATCTTACGTAAATGGGGGGCGCGGGGGGCGAAGACAAACATCAACAAAAGAAAGGTGCAGGATTTTGTCCATCAGCCGTAGGGTTCGCACGTGGCCCCCTACACGTAAGCGTCGCAGGGTTGCTGGCGGCGCGCACGTGGGGGCCTTTGTGAGGGGGGCGGTCTTCGACAGGCCGCACCCCTCGCCTCGCCCCCTTCCCTGCGGGCTGCCGGCCCGTCCAGGGCGATGCGGCCCAGCCCTGCCGAGATGCTCGCCGATCCGCTGCCACCGCCGAGTGCGGAGGCCTTACGGCCGGTGCCGCCGACCCTGAGGTCTGGGGGGGAGAGTGCGGAGCATGGGGAGGAAGATGAGGAGGGGGAAAGGAGGAAGAGGGGGATGAGGAGGAGTAGGAGCACGGAGGGGGGGAGTGAACAGGAGGAGAGTGAGGCGAGCAGGGTCGCACGGTACAGGTGGAGGGGGGGGGTTGACACGAAGGCAGGGCAGGGGCGAGTGGAGCCGGTCTCTGTGCAGCCGGTGCCTGCCGATCCGATGCCGGGGTCGATCTGGTTCGACTTGTCGATCCGAATCGACTCCTCGATCCGAGGCTGGGGCCGCGTTCCTTCGTAGAGAGGCCGCCTCGGTTGCAGCTCCGTGGAGGTTACGTTCAGCATCGGTGTTGGTATATCCGCGGTCGAAAACCAGCCTAGTTCGAGCTACCTCCGCTCAGTCCCGTTTCATTTCGTCTGATCCCGCTCAGTCCTGCTCAGGCCAGCGTAATCCTCGGCTTGGTCTTGATCCATCTCGCTCGACAGCCCCCGAATCGTGCGTAACGGCTTTGCATCGCTTCCGCGAGGAGCCCCCACGAGTTGCCCCCCAATCTTTCAGGAGGGAGACACACACAGACACAAACAATCGTCGATCCCCTGGAGCAGATCTGGGAACTATGGGGCGTGGAGGGGAAGACGAACATCCCGAAAATATTGGAACATATCGGGAGCCCTGAGATCTGTGGCCTCCCGCCCCTCTGCGCGCGCACCCCGCGCCCGCCGCGTCCCTCTGGCCAGTCGCGTCGACCACGGCAAAACTGTGGCTCTCTCCGCGTTCGTGCACCGCGATTCCTTACCCCTTCGCCCGTTTTCGCTTTTTCTGGTCAGAGCGCACCCCAGGAGAGGTCCGGGGAGTAGCGGTACAGTGCTTGCCTCCAGGGTGCCCTGGGTTTCTTGGGTTTCGATGGTTTTGCGATGGAAAGCGTGACGCTCCCACACCAAACATCAACGGACGTCCTGGGGTCTCAGTGTTGTTTCTTGTGGTCGGGCCCCTACTGTATCGGTGCCTTTTGGTCTCCCCAGGTTCGTCGAAGCACTCCGCTTGCGCGCGCGTGCCAGCACAGCCATATCACGCCACGCTTGATCGCAGGCACTTCTTCTGCCACGGCCCCAGGCGATCTCCCGCGTTGCCCCCGCTTTCGCTCCCAGCATCCCAATCGTCCCCCAGCTTTTTCTTTGGATGTGCAGATCAGATCCTCCTCCCCCTTCTCTTCCCCCTCGTCCTCCTCTCCTATCTCTCCTCCTTTCCCCGCACTTCTTCTTCTCCTCCTCCTCCTTCTCCTCCTTTCCTTCTTCCCGTCACTTCTCGTCATTCTGTTAGGCAACACCTGGAAAGGGAAACCTGGAACAAAACTTCATCATCCTCCCTTCTCTCCTCCCTCTCCTTGCTCTGCTCCATTCTTCCTTTTCCTTCACCCTCGCTCCTCCTCTTCACCTCCATTTCCCCCCACTGTCCTCCTCTCCTTCTTGCCACCCCCTCTTCCTTCTCCTTCTCCTCCCCCTCGCGCCCCATCCTCCTCACTCCCCGTCTCCCCCACCCCCTCTCCCTCCCCCTCTCCCCCTGCTTATCCCTCCCTTCCTCCCCCCCTGTCTTTCGCCTCCCCCTGCTGCTCTTGCTCCTGATCTTGATCTAGATCCTCGTCGCGCTCCTCCTAAGTACCCCTGGTCGCTCCTCGTACTCCTCCTTCACTGCTCCTCTCCCCTCCCCCCGTCGTTGCCCTCCCGCCCCCCCCGTCTCGGTGCTCTTCCCTCGTGTCGTCGGTGCTCCATCCCAGTGTTGTTGCATCGCCCTCGTCCCCACACCCGCCGCTGGCGCCATCGTCCGACCTCTTCCATCTCCTCCTTGTCGTCGTCGTCGTCGTCGTCCTCCTCCTCCTCCTCCTCCATTCCTTTTCCTTATAGATAACTTCTCCCTGTCGCACCCCGAGGCCAGTTTTTTAGGGCGGGCCGGGCGTTTCGCCAGGGACTTCCTGCCATTTATGATTCTGACGCCTAAAAAGTGACAGCAGTTTCACATGTCGAGGGTGGGCCGTTTTCAAAATGTGGCTCTCGCCTTAGCGCCGCGCACATTTGTTTTAACATTTTGCAAGAGTTTCACGGATTGAGAGCGGGCCGTTTTCAACATAAGGCTCTCGCCTTAGCGCCGCACGCATTTGTTTTAAGAGTTTGCAAGGGTTTCACGGATCGAGGGCGATTCTTTTTCAAAATGTGCCTCTCGCTTTAGCGCCGCGCACGTTCGTTTTAAACATTTGCAATCGTTTCACGGATTGAGGGCGGGCATATTTGTTTTCAACTTTTGCAAGAGTTTCACTTTCACGGATTCCTATGAGCAGCGTACCAGGTATGGTGCAGCAGTTATGTTGATTCGCGGTGTCGAAGTCCCAAAGATGGCGTATTGGCACGATTCTGGATCGTCAAGACGCAGCAGTCAGGTTGATCCGTGGCGATGAAGTCCCGAGAACAATATTTTGGCATGCTTCAGGATCTTCAAACGGTTGTCTTTCAACGAGGCAGTTTCCTCAATGGAAATGAACCATTTTAGGGGCCTGCGAAGAGGGAGCTTGGAGGGAGGGTTAATTCCAACATCGTTGATGACTCTCGGGTTTACACTGCTCCTCCTCCTCCTCTTCCTCCTCCTCCCCCCAGGCCTTCCCCCTCCTCCTCCTCCTCCTCCTCCTCCTCCTCCGCCTCCTCCTCCGCCTCCGCCTCCGCCTCCGCCTCCGCCTCCGCCTCCGCCTCCGCCTCCGCCTCCGCCTCCGCTTCCTCCTCCTCCTCCTCCTCCACTTCCTCCCCGCAGGCCTTCCCCCCTTCTCCTTCTCCTCCTCCTCCTCCTCTCCTCCTCCTCCTCCTCCTCCTCCTCCTCCTCCTCCTCCGCCTCCATCTCCTCCTCCATCTCCTCCTCCTCTTCCCTCCTCCTCAGTCCTCCTTCCCCCCTCCTCCCTCCGTCCCCCTCTCCCGAGCAGCCCAGCCCGCCAGGCGAGATGAGGGAGCGCGTGGAACAGCAGCAGGTCGGGGCCGTGGAGAAGAAGGCGATTGTGGAGGAGGAGGAGGCCAAGGCCAACGTGCAGAAGGCCACCGCCTCGGAGATCAAGGCGGACTGCACGAAGGACCTGGAGGCAGCGATGCCCGCGTACGAGTCCGCGGTGGATGCGCTGAGCAAGCTGTCGAAGGGCGACGTGGGCGAGGTGCGCGGCATGAAGGCGCCGCCCTCGGCTGGTACCCGCCGACATCGGCCCGCGCCCGACCGCGCAGCGCGCGAGCGCCGCGGTCTCGCGCGCGGGCTCCGCTGTACAGTCAAGCCGCTGGAAGAAGGACCGCCTTGAGCTCAGCAGGGGCTCTGCTTTTCGGGCTGTTCCTTACGGGGAGGCTGGAAACAGATACTCATGCGGGCCAGGCCTGATTGTGTTGCACGCTGTGGCGCTCCGGCAGTTTGGCTTTCGCCGGGCCGTGCCGAATTTTCAACACGGCAGTGCAGCCGTATCAGACGTCGCCGGACCGATCGGGGGCTTCTTGGGGCTACCATGAAGTCTTTCTTTCTTGTGGTCGAGGAGGAGGAGGAGGAGGAGGAGGAGGAGGAGGAGGAGGAGGAGGAGGAGGAGGACACTCGCCCTGGCCAGAGGAGCCCCGTCGCTCCTTCTTTCTGAGCTCCGCGCGGCAGCACGGTGGCTGCAGGCCTCCTGCCGGCGGCCCCCTGCCGGTGTCCGGTCCCGGCGGCCCTCCCCTGCGGGTCAGCGCCCCAGCTCGGGGGTTGCGAAAGTCGGCATCGTTTGACCGATCCCCACCCCCATCTCCATGTCCTTCGAGACCCCCAACAAGTTACCGCCCCAGTTGGGGACACACCCCTCGAAACCCGAGGGGGACGGCCTATAATCCCCATCCAGGGGGGTGAATCGGCCAGTGGGGCCCAGGCCACGCCGCTGTGGATGTGGATTTGTTAAACGATACTCAGAAAGGTGCCCCTGTCCCAAGGGGCGCCAGCTTTTCGCTCCATTTTCGATGGCCCGATTTTCCACCACCACTACCACAGGTAGGAGAGGGAGGAGGAGAAGGAGGGGGAGGACGAGAGGAGGAGGACCTCCCCTATCCTCCCTTCTCCCCCGTCCTACACATGGTAGACACGGTGGAAAACTGGCCCAGCAGTCCTGGAGCCCCTGGGGCCCTCTGGGCCTCGCGATGGGGTGCACTGGAGGCCGTGGGGGCCTCCCTGAAACTCCCGGGGGTACCCCGAGCCAGGGGCACCTCCAGCAACACCCGACGGTCAGCGCCCCAGCGCGCATGCGCAGCGGCGCGCGTGACTCCGCGCCGTCGTCGGGCAACCGCCAGGGGGCTGCGACGGAGGGGGAGCCGCGGGGCGCGGCGGCGACCACAGTGGGGGCGGGCTTTATTCGCCGGGGTGCGGCTTGCGATCGGCAGCGATGGGTCAGGGGCAACGACAGGGGGGGATAGGCATAAGGGGGGTCCCCGGGAGTCCCGACCCCTTCCCTAGGGCAGGTTTTTGTCATCCCGAGTTGTCTTTGGACAGTCCCGAGGCCCGGCAAGGGCCTCCAGGGGCCGAGCACGGCAGAACACAAACCCGTCGTGTTTTTTTTCACGACGCGAGCATGCTTGGGTTGGCGCCAGCACACGTCATGAGGATCGTCGTGCATATCACACCTTTCAGGGGCAACGATAGGGGGGGATAGGCACAGGAGGGGATGCATCAACCCCCAATCGTCCACTCATCGCCGATAGGGGCCCGATAGCCCCACTCCGCCCAGGAAGGTGCGGATTCGGTTTCGGGGGCCTATCGCCGATCTATCGGCGATGTATTGCCTATTTCCAGGTCGATGCATCCCCCCCTATGCCAGTCCCTCTCTATCGTTGCCCCTCGTTGGGGCTCTGGGCGAAGAACCAATAACGGCACACACACAAGCTTTTGGAGCTCCGCGCGGATTTCTTGGATCGGCGCTGGACCCCCTTCCCTCTTGGACGCCCCCGAGTTGGCCTTCATGTTCGTTCGCAGCCTCACCCTGTCACTCCGGGGCTTAGGCTTTGACTGTACACCACCGCCTGGAGCACCATAGTCTGTCCTGGTGCCCTGCTTTCTTCCTCCCTTCTCCTCTCCTCCTTCGTCCTTCTTTTCTCCCCTCGCAGAATGAGATCGCTGCGCCCCACCGTGTGGCTGAGGTGTGAGGCCGTGGCGAGCCTCGGCTTCCGCCCGCCTTGCCCGCCTTGCCAGTGCGGCTCGTAGAGTTTCTGCTGCTTCACTCCTCGTGCGTGCCCGGCGATGCTTGTACAGCTCCTGCCTGGTGCCAGCCGCCGCTCGGCCGCAGGGGGCATCTCGCTTCTCTCTCCCTCCTTCCCTCCGTGGCGCTCCCTCTCCGTTTCGCACGCGGCACGCTCGCTCGTCCTTCAGGCCGCGGTTCAGTGCATGTGTTTGCCTATCGCAGGTCGGCTCGTGTGGTGTTCCCGGTTTGCTTGGCAAAATATCGATTCGCACAGCGGTCGAGGACGAGTGGGGTGAAAGTTTGCGGTCGCCCTCCCTCCTCCTCTTCCTCCTCCAAAAAAATCGCCACGTCGGATTTCAGGGTGCGCTGGGGGCGCGGTGCTCTGGCTGCGCGTCCGCTCTGATGCGTGCTGTCGATGTGTTTTTGGTCCTTGCTGGTGTGGTGGTCGCAGCGGCGTGCGTGCTGATCTCTGTAGCGCGCCTCCCCAGGTCGATCGGGGCTGGTCACCTTACCGATCTGACACGCGCCACAGGTGCCGACCCCGGGTGTGTACATGACGGCGCAGGCGCGCCGGAAGCGCTGGCTCTCTCTCTCTCTCGTTATGCAGTGCTGGATTGTGAGAGGGGTGCAGGTCCGTCGATGATGATGCTGCTGATGACGATGATGATGATGATGATGATGATGATGATGATGATGGTGGTAGTGATGCTGGTGGTGATGATGATGATTATGATGCTGCTTCTGTTGATGATGACGATGACGGCGATGATGATGATGCTGATGATTCTAGTGATGGTGATGATGATGATTCTGATGATGATGATGATGATGATGATGATGATGATGATGATGATGATGATGATGGTAATGAGGATGATGATGGCGAGTATGACGATGATGACTATGATGATGACGATGATGATGATGATGATGATGATGGCGATGATGATGCTGCTGATGCTGACGATCAGGACGACGATTATGATGTTGATCGTCATCGTGGGGTTGATCGTGGTCGTGGTCGTGATCATGATGATGCTGGCGCTGCTGCTGCTGATGATGGTGACAGTGATTCTAATGATGAGTATGATGATGAGTGGGTTGACGATGGTCATGGTGATGGTGGCGGATACGGAGATGGAGTTGATAATGACAATGACAGTGATGATGCTGCTGATGATGAGTATGGTGATATATTGTTGACCATTCTGGTGATGATGATGCTGATTATGTTTGCGACGATATGCCGACGACGAGGATGATGATGATGCTGATGATGATACTCATGATGGTGCTGATGATGATGCTGCAGATGATGCTGGTGATGGTGATGATGCTGCTGATGATTTTGATGATTGTGATGATGATTGTGAGGTTGATGATGATGCTGCTGATGAGGATGCTGTTAGTTATGGTGGTGATGATGATGGCTACGTTGATGATGATGCTGCTGATGAGGATGCTGTTAGTTATGGTGATTCTGATCATGATGGTGGTGGTGGTGCTGCTGCTGATGCTGATGCTGATGCTGATGGTGCTGCTGCTGCTGATGATGATGATGATGATGATGATGATGACGGTGCTGATGATGATGATGATGATGATGATGATGATGATGATGATGATGATGACGATGACGATGCTGATGATATTGATGATGATGATGATGATGATGATGATGATGATGATGATGATGATGATGATGTTGATGACGATGACGATTATGATGACGATGGCGATGATAATGCTGATGATTATGATAATGACGATGACGATGATGATGATGACGATGATGATGATGATGATGATGATGATGATGATGATGATGATGATGCTGATGCTGATGCTGATGCTGATGCTGATGCTGATGCTGATGATGATGATGATGATGATGATGATGAGGAGGAGGAGGAGGAGAGGATGAGGAGGAGATGAGGTGGAGGAGGAGGAGGAGGAGTAGGAGGAGTACCAATCTCGCTATAGGCTACAGGTTTACAGGGTACCAAAACCCATCTTTAGAGATGAAGCGGCCATCGTCGAAACGCTCGAGATTGTTGGGCAGCTTACGGGACAGCCCGCTACCCCCAAAACAGGTAGTTGTTCGACAACGGGCTGCATCCCCGAAGTAACCAGGATAGTCGAAACCAGATGTCAGGAGAAGCCCCATGGGGTTTCGGCCATGCCACGAGAAGCCCCCGGGAGATGGGCGTTCCTGAGCGCCCAGACAGCCGCCCTTCGGGACCTCGCAAAGGGGGGGGTGCCACAAGGGGGGGGGGTGAGTTCTGTCCGTCGGCGCATCAAACCAAAGAAAATCTATGCACCACCCAGCACAGCGTTTCGTGCCCCCGTAGGGAGCTCCACCGAAGGTCCCAGTGGCACCGCCCGCATGCGTCGTCCACCACCCAGTACAGCGTTTCGTGGGCTGATACGGAGCTCCACTGAAGGCTCCACTGGCACCGCCCGCATTCGTCAGCCACCACCCAGTACAGCGTTTCGTGGTCCCGTAGGGAGCTCCACCGACGGCCCAAGTGGCACCGCCCGCATGCGTCAGCCACCACCCAGTACAGCGTTTCGTGGCCCCATACGGAGCTCCACCGAAGGCACCAGTGGCACCGTCCGCATGCGTCAGCCACCGCCAAGCACAGCGTTTCGTGGCCCCATAATGGGTCTCCACCGAAGGCTCCATCGGCACCGCCCGCATGCGTCAGCCACCACCCAGTACAGCGCTTCGTGGCCCCGTAGGGAGCTCCACAGAAGGTCACAGTGGGACCGCCCGCATGCGTCAGCCACCACCCAGTAAAGCGCTTCGTGGCCCCATGGGGAGCTCCACCGAAGGTCCCAGTGGGACCGCCCGCATGCGTCAGCCACCACCCAGTACAGCGTTTCGTGGCCCCGTAAGGAGCTCCACAGACAGACCCCAATGGCACCGCCCGCATGCGTCGTCCACCACCCAGTATTGCATTTCGCGGCCCCATTGTTTCGGAACTCCACCAAACCCCAGTGGCACCGCCCGCATTCGTCAGCCACCACCTGGTACAGCGCTTCGTGGCCCCACAGGCAACTCCACCGAAGGTCCCAGTGGGACCGCCGCATACGTCAGCCACCACCCAGTAAAGCGCTTCGTGCGCCCATACGGAGCTCCACCGACGGCCCTACTGGCACCGCCCGCATTCGTCAGCCACTACCCAGTACAGCGTTTCGTGGCCCCGTAGGGAGCTCCACCGACGGTCCCAGTGGCACCGCCCGCATGCGTCCCCCCCACCTGGTACAGCGTTTCGTGGCCCGTAGGGAGCTACAGTAGCCCGCCCGCGTGCGTCAGCCACACCCAGTACAGCGTTTCGTGGCCTCATAGGGAGCTCCAACGAAGGCCCGAGTGGCACCGCCCGCATGCGTCCCCCCCCCGTGGCCCCACAGGGAGCTCCACCGAACGGCCCCGCTGGCACCGCCCGCATGCCCCCCCCCCCCCGTAGGGAGCTCCGTAAGGAGCCCCGTAGCCGGAGCCCCGGCACAACATTCCGGAGCCCCGTAGGGAGCTCCAGAGAAAGACCCCAGCGGCACCGGCCGCATGCGTTTCCCCCGATTAGTACAGCGTTTCGTTCGTGGCCTCATCGGGAGCTCCAGCGAGGGGCACCGCCCGCATGCGTCAGCCACACCAAGTACAGCGTTTCGTGGCCCATGGGGAACCCCACCGAAGGCCCCAGTGGCACCGCCCGCATACGTCAGCCCCCACCCATTTCGGCACGTCCCTCCCGCGTTTCGTGGTCCCATAGGGAATTCCACCGAAAGTGTCACCCACAATGCGCTACTCACATCTGCATATGGTTGGGTCCTTCGCCAGGATAATTTTTTTGGGTATTCCTTATTTTTCGTCCAAGCTCTGCCTGTAGGGGGACACGCCCGACCTCATGCGACTCCGCTGCATCCCCCCCCCCCTCGGAGTGCGCAGGAGAGAGGAGGCAGTGACGCGTTTGGCACCACTCGGGGGCGGCAAGGTCGGGGTCGGATCGGCGTGTGGCGCCACGTCGCCGGTTCCACCAGGCTCGCGTGACAGTGGCGACAGTCGCACGCGGCGCCACGCAGGCGAAAGCGAGGAGAAAGCGGGCGAAAGAGGGGCGAGAAGGCGAGGAGAGGGGCGGGAGACGTGAAGAGTGAGGAGAGAGTATGCGGGAGAGGAGCTGAGGTCAGCAGCGGGTGCCTTCTTGTTCCACCAACCACAGGGAGGGGTAGGAATAGCGTACGCTGTAAGCCACTCCCACGGTGCGCATGACCTGCATCTTAAACGCTTGAATCACCTGCCACGTCGCTGGGGATCCACCTACAAGTGTACCAGCATCTCTGACGGCAGGCAATGTGCATCATGTTCGAAGTGAAGCCGATCAAGGTGGCCTCCCCAGATGGCAAGGGCAAGGTCGATGATTATTGGGAGGCCGCCAAGAAGGATCTCTTGTCGGACACGCGCCTGATCGAGAGGACTTGCATGGAAAAACGCATGAGAAGCGCCGATTGGCTCGGCATTCTCCGTCTCCTGTTCCTTCTTCTCCTGCCTGCCGTCCCTGGCCTCCCTTCTCCTATCCCCTTTTCTTCTCTTTCACCTCCTCCTTACCTGCACCATCGCTTCGTTTCTTGCTCCCGTGTTTACAGCCGGTTTTCATCGTGCTGCTCTGCGTTCGACTCTTTGGTGAGTTGTGAGTTTTGCTTTGCTGGCCGGACGGTAGGCAGTGCATTGAGTGGCACAGGCTCTGGGGAAGTATGGCCGCGCTCCGATGATTGGTTCGATGTTGATGAACTGGGCTACGACTGCGGAGTATCTTCCCCGCTGTCTCTTGGGAGGCTCTGGGAACTCTCTCGGGGGTTCCTCGAAGCCCCCTGGAGGCCTATCGGAGGCCTCTCGGGGGCCTCTTGCGGGTCTGGGGTCTTGGGCCTAACGCTTGGGAGGGGAGGCTTCAGCGCTTTGGCGGTGGCTCGTCTTCTTGGTTTTTCTTGGCGCCGTCACTGGGGTCTCTTCGGCCCTCTCGCGAGCATCCTTGGACGTTGTGGGTTGATCTTGGAGGCCTCTTGGTCCGTCGTGGCCTTTCAACCGAAAGAGCGAGAACGACATATGTTTTCAAGAGATGCATGTGTTTCACTGATTTTTGGCTCTTGTGCCAGCCCCAAGAGCTTCCAAGACGGCCCAATACTGTCGTAGGGCATGTTAGAAGTTCTGGTCCTCAAGACTGCTTTTGATGCTTCAGGACCTCAACGTGGTGAGTCCCGATAGTCCCATCAGTTGGGGTCTGGGGCTTTTAACCATTCAGTGTTGAGAACGAAAGTGCAGTTTTGAGCACTACTACTGATTACTGAGTACTGGAGGGCACTCCACTCAGTGCTAACGCCACGATGGCGGATATGCCTGGCTGTCATCGTTCATGCTTCCGCTTTTGCAGGCCTCATGTATTCATCGGAGGTTGGGGGGTTAGATCGCAGTGAAACGGAGAGCCCCCCACCAGGACGTCGGTCTAGGTTTCGTGTTCGTGTCGTGCGTGCGGGTGAGGCGAAGCTGCGTGGGTGGGCGAGAGGAATGAGCCCGTCGTTGCTAAGACAAAACCGGGCTCAATGATTCCCCTCCCCTGGTTGGCTGGCCGTGGTTCGGGGGTGTCGGGGTGTCCCGCCAGTGTCCCGTGGCGTCCCGTGGTGTCCCGTGGCGCGGTGTCCCGTGATGTCCCGTGGTGTCGTGTCCCGTGAGTTCAATAGTGAGATCGATTGAGCGAGATCGATAGTGGGATCGGCATTGAGATCGATAGTGAGATCAAGTGTGATATCGACAGGTGGAGGGATATCGATATTGAGATCGATAGTGAGATCGATAGTTAGTTCGATAGCGAGATCGATAGTGGAATTTAAGGTACTGGTAGAGGCTGATTGTGAGATCGATGGGTAGTGATATCGATACTTAGAGGGAGATCGAGACTGATATCGTGGGAGCGATAGTGAGATCGATGGTATGCAGAGGGTGAGATCCATAGTGATGCCACAGGATTGATACTGGGAGCGACAGTGAAATCGATACTGGGATTGACGGCGAGATCGATAGATAGTGAGACCGATAGATAGAGGGAGATCGGCAGCGGGGTCCACAGTGGTTCTCCGTGGTGCCCCGTGGTGTCTCGTGGTGCCTTGTGGCCTTGTATGTTCTTAGTACGTTCTCCTGAAGAAAAGGGCGCCTGGGCAAGTACATGCCACTTCGTTTCGCTAGTTGCCCCGACGCTGTTTGATGGCTTTCCCGAAATATATTGCCCAACATATCGCCCTGCATTTTCGAAGTATGTCCTCAAGAACAAGGCTACCCGCCAAACACATGTCACCTAGTGGTGGCGATAGTGAGATCGATAGTGTTGTCCCGTGGTGTCTAGTGGTGCCCCGCGTTTTTTTTCGTTCGTCTCAAGGAACGAGCGCGCGGGTAAATAAACGCCACGTGGTTCCGCTGGTATCCCTGATGCTTTGGCGCCTTGCAGTGAGATCGAGTGCCCTGCGTTGGCCAGGCTCTGCCAGCCAAACCTGCTTGATGCACTGCTACTTTTGCGCGCTGACCGTTTGCGATGCCCCGCTTATCACCAGCATCTCTCAGACGCCCTGGGTTGCCGCTGCCCGCCGCCTGACCGCGGCCCCACGCGCGCCCGCCCCCTAGTCGCGGCCGCAGCCCGACCGTGACCTCCTGCCGCTGGCGCTTCCGCCTGCGGCCGTAAAACAAAAAATCACCAGCATCGCCGCCATGCGTTGCCACCGCCACATGCGTTGACATCAGCATCGCCGCCCAGCATCGCATTCACGCATTGTCGCCAGCGCCGTCATCATGCATCGCCGCCAGCTCGTCGCCACAATCACTGTCACCATCTGCAGTTGTCCCCAGTTGTCCCCTTCCCCCCCGCAACCTCCTTATCACCCGAATGGTGGTCGTACAGGTACTCGGTTATGCAAGCCTTCCTGGTCCGTCCTCATCTTCCTCCCCGTCTTCCTCCTTGCCCTCCTCGTCGTCGCCGTCGTCCTACTCCTCGTCTCTTACGCCTTGTCGTCGTCCTCATCCCGCCTGTTGTCTCCTGCGTGTGCTGGGGGGTGACGTGCGCGGTTGCAGTCAATGGTCGAAGGCTGAGCCAGCAGTGACGTCAGTCGCTGCGGCACCTGGTCCACGAGCACCAGATACGTTGATATCGCTCGGACGTGCGAGGGCCATCGAGGAGCAGCCTGGAGCATGTTGGGAAGGCAGCGCGAGCGAAACCGACAACTGCACAAGGGAGTTGCACGACCGAGGGAGTGCAAGATGCGCAGCCCGCCTCTGCTTTTCGCCCCGTGTCCCGCCCCCCACCCCCCCAACGACGACGACGACGATGACCTCGGCGACGGTGACTACGACGACGACGACGACGGCGACGACGACGGCGACAGCGTCGAGGACGACGACGGCGACGACGACGGCGTCGACGACGACGACGACGACGACGGCGACGGCGACGACGACGACGACGACGGCGACGGCGACGGCGTCTCGCATACGCCGACGGGGTCGGTGGATCTAAGTGTCTGGGTACGCAGCCCCTCCCGGGGAGGCCGACGGCAGGCATGCGGAGGAGAGAGAGGGCTCCCACGACCGTTGAGATCGCCCCCGGAGCTCGGACGCGCTGCTGCGGCGGCGGGAGGCGACCTGCAATGTCAGGAAGCTCGGTACACGTTCAGGTGGGAAACATACACGCAGACACAATTCATCGTCGACTCCCCAGGACATGTGCGAAAATATATCGGAAGTGCGAGGGGAAGACAACAACCCCGAAGAGAAGGGGAAGACTTGGGGAATCCCGTGATTTGTGTCTATTTCTTTGTGTACCCCAGGGCCCAGTTCACACCTGGCGAGCGGCTCCAGGAAGGCCCCCCGAGCGAGCCTAGCCCCGGCACGCCGTGGCTGGCCTCAGATTGAGAGTTGGTGGTCTCCAAACCAGGTGGTGAGACACCCGGTGGTGACCCCGATTCCCCAAAGAAATGATTCTGGGTCGCCACCGGGTTTGGGGACGCGCGGTCGCCGCGAGGTTTTGCGCTTCCTGGGTCAGCCAGCGCTCGAAAACCATTACCCGAATCGCCCCAAACTCACCACGGGGTGTTCTCACCACCACGTTTGGGGACCACCAAGAGAGAGAGAGAGGGAGGAGGGAGGAGGGAGGAGGGAGGAGGGAGGAGGGAGGAGGGAGGAGGGAGGAGGGAGAGGGAGGAGGGAGGAGGGAGGAGAGGGAGAGAGAGAGAGAGGAGCTGGGTGCCCGCTTGTTGGCCGCACGTGCACCCTTCTTGGGGGCTCGTCGCCCCCCCCCGCGCTTGGCTGCGGCGCCCGCCGGCCGGCCTCCGCAGCGCGTGGACCCAGCGCGCGGCCCCCGCATAGGTTCCGCGCGGCCTCCGGCCTCGGAGCTCGGGCGTGCTGCAGGGGCCGCAGGAGGCGACCTGCACTCCTCCTCCTCCTCCTCCTCCTCCTCCCTTTCCTGCCTTTCCTCCTCCCTTTCCTCCTCCCTTTCCTCCTCCTCCTCCTCCTCCTCCTCCTCCTCCTCCACGGAAGCTCGGCACACGTGGCGAGCGGCTCCAGGGAGCGCCCCAGAGCGAGCCTATGCCCCGTACGTCGTGGCTGGCCTCTCGGAGCGGGAGCGAGAGCTGGGAGGCCCGCTTGCTGGCCGCAGGCGCGCACTTCTCGGGGGCTCAGTCGTCCCCCGCGCGGCTGCTGCGCACGCCGGCCGGCCTCCGCAGTGTGTGGACCCAGCGCGCGGCCGTCGCGCGAGCTTCTCGTGTGTTGTGGAGCCGCGGTCGAGAAGACAGTCATGCGGAGGTGTCGCGAGATCAGAACCTCTGCTTCGGAATGGTCGTATCCGGGGGCTCGTCCCCCGCGCTTTGCGGCGCCCTCTGGCCTCCGCAGTGTGTGGGCCCAGCGCCCGCGGCCCCCGCATGTGCCGCAAGCGAATACCGTGGGGGCGCGCATCAAGAAGCCATCTGCTTTTCGTCAGGGTGCCCTGGGCTTCTTCGCTCCGCGCGCGGCGCGGTGGCTCCCCGCGGCCGGCCAGTGAGCTGCTGCGTGCAGGGTGCTCCATGTTTTCCCTCAGGCGTACCTCGCGCGCGGGTTTTCAGGGTTGGGTTTCTTGCGCTGGTTTCTTGCGACCGCGCCCGCCCTGTACCGTCACGCATGCTTCTTGTGTGTTGTGGAGCCGCGGTCGAGAAAACAGTCATGCGGGAGGTGTTACGAGATCAGAACCTCTGATTCTGAATGGTCGTATCCGGGGCCGTACGGTGCTACGATTCTTCCCAGGATGGTCAACTTCGACAAGGACAACATACCGGAGGCGGTCATCGCAAAGGTGAGGCCGCTGTACGAAAACCCAGAGTTCGAGCCCGACAAGATCAAGAAAGCCTCGCTCGCGGCGATGGGCATCTGCAAGTGGGTCCGAGCGATGGTCGTGTACGACAAGGCTCGTAGGGGGTATCGCGAACGCCTCAACTCGGCGGCGAGCGAGGGGGGGAAGCGAGAGGAGAAGGCCTTCTCGGAAGGCAGAGGGACTTCTCCGAAGCCCTCCCGCCTCCTCGAGAGCCTCTCTGCGTATCTTCGGGGAAGTCCTAGGGACACTTTGCACAAGGCTGGGGGACTTCCCAGCCTTCTGAGAAGGCCCGCCCCTTCTCATTTTCCCGTGGGCTTAGGTCGTGCATGCCCCCCTACAGGCAGATTTTGGACAATGAAATTATCAAGCAAATATTCAAACATGGTCCAACCATCGTCCCCGGATTACTTTTGGACCATTTTTGCATTTTCCTCTTGTAGAGGGACAAGCCCGACTATCACTTCCCCTTGGTCCCTAAGGGCTTGTCGACTTTTCACCAATCGACTTGTGGGGATCCAGCCAGATAACTGCCGATGAATCGAGATAAATCCAGGTAAATCCAGGCACATCGAGATTCGTCCTGGCAGATCCAGGTCAATCCGGAGATCTCCAGGGCAGGTTGGAGCAACTCGCGCCGCTCTAACTCGGGCCGGGCGAAAAGGGGGGAATTGGGAAAGGGGGGGTTACGAAATTTGCTGCATGCAGCTGGTGTCGGCCTCACCGAGCGGCCCCTTCCTCGATACGTAGCCGCCTCCGGCGCCGGGAGGCGCCGGGAAAATCAGCTACGCGAGCTGATTCTCAACCCCCCCCTTGGCTATCCCCCCCTTTCGCCCGACCCGACTGATGCGAGTCGAAGGACGCCAGAAGTCGACTCAGCCCCGGGCCCGCCGCCGCGCATCGCGAACGCCTCCACCGGGGGGCCCCCGCGCGGGGGAGGCCCCTCGGCGCCGGCGCGGGGCCGCCTGCCTCTCTCTTCTCTGGGAGGTGCCGCGCCGCGGGCCCCTTCGCACGTCCCCGGGAGCGTCGCCACTTCGGTCGTCGTCCCCGTCGTCGTCGCCGTCGTCGCCGCCGTCTTCGTCGTCGTCGTCGTCGCCGTTTTCGTCGTCGTCGTCGTCGTTTGCCGTCGTCGTCGCCGTCGTCGCCGTCGCCGTCGTCGCCGTCGTCGTCGTCGCCGTCGTCGTCGTCCTCGTCGTCGTCGTCCTCGTCGTCGTTTTGGCAGCGCACGGCGGTCTCATCCTCGCAGCAGGTGTGAAGCCTCTGCCCGGTGCCAGGAGGGGCGACGCACGCGGCGAGCGGGGGGGGGGGAAGGCGAGGAGGGGCGGGCCTGCTCAGAAGGCTCGGAAGTCTCCCGGCCTTTCCCGAAGCCAGGGGACAATTCTCAGGAGGCGCGCGGGCTTCTGAGGAGTCCCGCCGCCTTCCGAGCAGGTCTCCTCCTTCTCACTTCCCCCCCCCCTCGCTCGCCGCCGAGATGAGGAACGGCAGAGGAGGGAGGCGGCGGGAGGAGAGGGGGCGCAAGGGTCTGCTACCTCGGCGCAGGTCGACAGCAGCGCAAGCCCAGGAGCGCAGGAGCAACTCCAGGCTTGAGGGTCCCGGAGACCTCCAGGAGTCCTTGGGGGGAGGCCACCATCGGTACAGCCCCCTCGTGGCGAAGCTCTCCCGCTCCCCGAGCATTTGCCTTTGCGTTCTCCCCTCGATCACTTCACTTCGAACTCCAGCAGTTCTCGCGAAGTGCGTTTTCTTCGTTGTGCCTCCGCTCTTCACTCAGTCCAGTAGACTCGCGTGATGTACGTCGCTTTTTGGTCTGGAGAGATGTCATACATGACTGCAGAGGTCCAGGAGGAGAGTTGCTCGGGTTTGCCCCGCGATCGAGACGTAGTGCATTCTCAAAAGCAGCAACTTCGCTCGGAACTACCTCCTGATCGTTGGTGGGCATTTGCCTACGACCGGTTCCCCGTGTCGAGGCGGTGGCGGCCCCAGCGCGGGCGTTCAGCGTTAAACGGGTGTTCTAATAATAGCAATAACTGATGAGTTTGCCACAGCTTTCACCAGAGTGCGACAACTCACTGTTTGGGGCCCACTCCTTCTTCTTCTCCTACATTCCTCCTTCTCTTCTTCCTCCCTCTCCTTCCGCGTCCCAGTGGATACGTGCTGCAACACGACCCATGGGAAACATGCCTCCTCCAATAAGCACGCCTTCTCCCCCTCCTCCCGTTACTCCTGCTCATCCTCCTCCTTCCGCGTCCCAGTGGCTCCGCACCCCCAGGGGAAACGAGCCCTTTGCTCATACTCCTCCCGCTTCTACTCCTCATTCTTATTCGTATTCTCAATCAACCATCCGCTGAATCGTCCCCACCGGAGGAGGAGGAGGAGGAGGAGGAGGAGGAGGAGGAGGAGGAGGAGGAGGAGGAGGAGGAGGAGGAGTGGAGGTTTTTCGAAGAGCAAGTAGCATCCTCGGGACACCCCAGCGGGCGGCAGCAGGGCGGCAGCAGGGCCCCCACGTGGCGACTCCTCTGGACACCTCCGCGGGCGGCAGCGGCTTGCAGCGGGCCAGAGTGTGGCGACTCCTCGGGACGTTCCCGCGGGCGGCAGCGGCCAGCAATGGGCCGCAACGGGCGGGAACGCGGCGAATCCCCAGGACACTCTCCCACAGGCGGCCACGCGCGGCAACAGGGCGGCCACAAGCCAGAGCGTGGCGAATTGCAGGGCACCCATCTGATTCCTTAGAAGCGCAAGCAAGAACCTCTGAGTGCGAGCACCGTTTGGGGAGTTTACCCTCATCCGAGTTTTTCCTCGTCCTGCCTTTGTCTCCCTCGCCTCGCCCCTCGCAGGTGGCCAAGGAGGTCGGCCCCAAGAAGCTGAAGCTGGCAAAGGCCGAGGCGGAGGTGGCCGAGGCCGAGGCGACGGTGGCCGCCAAGCAGGCCGAGCTCGCCGAGGCGCGGGCTGCAGCCAGAGCGGTGTGTGTGTGTGTGTTCCTCCCTCCTCGGTCCTCGTTTTTCTTCTTCCCCCTCTCCACGGAGCCAGCGCGCGCGCACCATCCCAGGTTCCAGCCGCTGTACTTGATTTGCTTCGCCTCGTCGCCGCGCGTGAAGCCGCGACCGCAGAAAAAGTGCGTGCGTTTGTGTGTGTGTGTGTATACATGTATGTATGTATGTATGTATGTATGTATGTATGTATGTATGTATGTATGTATGTATGCATGCATGCATGCATGCATGCATGCATGCATGCATGCATGCATGCATGCATGTAGGTAGGTAGGTAGGTAGGTAGGCAGGTAGGCAGGTATGTATGTATGTATGTATGTATGTATGTATGTATGTATGTATGTATGTATGTATGTATGTATGTATGTGTGTGTGTGTATATGTATGTATGTATGTATGTATGTATGTATGTATGTATGTATGTATGTATGTATGTATGTATGTATGTATGTATGTATGTATGTATGTATGTATGTATGTATGTATGTATGTATGTATGTATGTATGTATGTATGTATGTATGTATGTATGTAGCCAGCTGGAGGCCCCCCTCATGCGATGGGCCAATGGGCCCGCCCTGGGGTCCGTCCCCGCCAAGGGTTTCCGTCTTCGTCAAGTGCCATCATCCTCGCCAGCGCAGTCGAGAGCATCGAGGCCAGTTTTCTCGTCAGCACAGCCTAGATCACTGGCGCCATCATCCTCGCCGGCGAGGTCGAGAGCTCTGCTGGCGCCCTCGTCGGTGCCGTCTGGGTCGCCGGCGCCGCCGACCCGGCCTGCGCAGCCGAGTGCATCGGTGCCGGCGTCCTCGTCGGCGCAGCCTGCGTCGCCGAGGCCGGCGTCTTCGTCGGCGCCGTCGAGAGTATCGGCGCCCGCGTCCTCGCAGCCGCTGCCGAAGCCGCCAGCGCCATCATCTTCGCCGGCGCAGTCGGGAGCATCGAGGCCAGCAACCCCCCGGCGCAGCCGGGATCACCAGCGCCATCTCCTTCCGCAGCGCGGCCGCGAGCCGCGCCGGCATCTTGGTCAGCGCAGCCTTGATCGCTGGCGCCGCCATTCTCGCCGGCGCCGCCGGGCGCTTCGGTGCCGGTATTTTCGCCAGCGCAGCTTGGATCGCCGATGCCGCCATCTTCTCCAGTGCTGTCGAGAGCGTCGACGCCAGCTTGCTCGCAGCCGCTGCGAGGGCCGCCAGCGCCGTCATCCTCGCCGGTGTGGTCGAGAGCTTTGAGGCCAGCAGCCCCCCGTCAGCATCGCCTGGGTCACCGGCGCCGTTGCCCTTCCCCAGCGCAGCCGAGAATTGTGCGAGCTCCCTCGCCAGCGCAGTCTGGGTCGTCGGCGCCGCCGTTCTCGCCGGCGCAGCCCGGAGCTTCGGTGCCGCTGGTCGGCGCAGCCTGGGTCGCCGATGCCATCATCCTCGCGGGCGCAGTCCAGAGCTTCGACGCCAGCTTTTTCGCCGCCGCAGCCCGGGCCACCAGCTTCGCCACCTTCGCCGGCGCTGCCGAGAGCTTCGACGGCGGCGCCCTCGTCGGCGCAGCCGAGATCGCCAGCGCCAGTGCTCTCGCTGGTGCCGCCGAGAGCTTCCATGACGGCGTCCTCTGCAGTGCTGCTTGGGGCACTGGCGCCGTCGCCTTCGCCGGCGTTGCCGAGGGCGCCCTCGTCGGCGCCGCCTGGGTCGCCGATGCCGCCGTCCTCGTCGGCGCAGCCTGGGTCGCCGATGCCATCGTCCCCGACGGCCTTCCCGACGGGCTCCCCGCTTCGCGTTGAGGGCCGCCCTCGCGTGGGCGGGGCCCTTCCCGATGCCCTCCGGCTCTGAGTTGGGGACCGCCCTCGCGTGGGCGGGGTCGTTTCCCCCGGCGCCGGCCCGGGCGCCGACCCCGACGCCGCTGAACACCCGTGCCAACCGATGTCGACCCCGACGCCGACCCTGGGGCCTCGCCCTGTCTCCTGCGCCATGCCGAGCACCCCGCGCGACGACGCCCGCCTCGACTCTCTCCCCGACGGCCTCCCCGCTGCCCTCCCTGGCAGCCCGCCTGGCGGTCCTCGCTGCACCCCGCCCCGCGCCCCTCCTGACTGCCTGCCTCGTCCGTGTTGGCACGATGGCCCCGGTGCTGATGGGCGGTGCGAAGGCGATTCCGCGCGCGTTTACTGCGCTGAGCACCTGGGGGTTTGTCCGCGCTGCGCGGCGTTCGTGCTCGCTCCCGCGCCGACGTGACCGCTCCAGGAACTGATTGCGGATGCCCCGCGCAGGTGCGGGGAGTGGGGTGGGCCCGCGACGCCCCGCGGCAGCCCGGGCGGCGCCCGCGACTCCCGGGCCCCCCGCGCGCGCGGGGTGCTCGCGCAGGGGGCTGTCCCCGGGGCCGCCGCGCCCCAGCGAGGTCGTCTCTTGTTGGATTTCCAGCGATTCTGATGAAGCGCTGAGCTTCAGTTCGCCGTGTAGGATCTGGGCCGCCGAGCGCTGGTGCCAGTCCGCGCCCTTCACCGCTCCGAGCGGGCCCCGCCCCCCTTGACTTCCCCGCCCGCCTCTTCGGCCAGTTCGTCGATTCCATCTGCGGTGCGCTCTAGGGGGTGGTCCCCGAGGCCCTGCGTGGAGGCTGGCTTCTCCCCCTCGCCTCCGCCGCCATCTCCTCCTCCTCCCCCTCCTTCTCCTCCTCCTCCTCCTCCTCGTCCTCCTCTTCCTCGCTTTGGCCTTGGAGGCGGCGTCGCCGACGCTGGTTCGCCGTGGGTTGATGTGCGCGCCGTGCATGGGCTGGTAGGACCTCGGCGCATCTCAGCGGCGAATCCAGCGTCGACCGCCTCGTCAGCGTGAGGTGGTGGTTCTGGGCTCTTGTGAAGGTCAGAGCGGTGCCCTTCTGCTGCGGCGCCAGCGCCCTCCCGCCGCCCATCCCCTCCTCCGCTCCCCAGCTTCGGCAGATCCTCGCCACCGTCAACTTCAACCGCTTGCGTGCCGATTCCCTGCCCGCGCCGCGCAGGTTTTCCCCGCGGCGACGCGCGTGCCTCCGCCCGCGTGCCCGCGCGCGCCCGCGTCGTCGTGGCGCGTGCATGCCGATTTTATTACTGTTCACATTCCAAGAAACAGAAACAAATCCTCGCAATGCTTGCTGAGACCTGGCAGCCTGGGACCTCGCTGGCGGGGGCGTCAGCTTCCCGCCCTCGCCCTGGCCGGCGCGGGCGGCCCCGCCGCCGAGCCCCCTCGCGGGCCCGTCGGCGGCCCCGCGTCGGTCCGCCCTGTCCTCCGCGTTCTCTGCCCCGCTCTCCGCCTTCTTGCTCCCTCTTCTCCTCTGCCTCCTTGTTGCGCCAGGCGCCCCCGCGTCCACGCCTCTGCGTCGGGGCCGCCAGATCGGCCTGGCAGGGTCGCGCTTCTGGGGGCGAGGTGCTCCTGGCGCAGAGGGCCGACGCGTCGCCTGGAGGGGGGGGTTCTGGCGCGGGGGAGCAGGGCGACGCCTGCATGGCGGCGCGAATGCTGGATTGGCGGGAGCAGCGCCCCTGGGGGGTGCCGGTCGGCGGTTCGCTTGCTCTTGCCTGCCGCGGGTTTGCCCTGCGAAGGAGGGGGCGAGCCGTTGGCTGAACCTGTTTTCGAGGTCTGCCCCGCCGACCAGATTCACCGCGCAAAAGGCCGCCCACGTGCGACAGTGGCGGCCGGCGCGCCTCCTGCACCGGCAGCCCTCCGCATTGCACCTGCCGTTCTTCATCCGCCCTGCAGGTGCGGGCACCCCCCTTCCGCCCTGCAAGCGCGGCCTGCCTCCGTGTCTACCCCTCGGTCACTCGAGAAAAAATGGTCCTCTGGGGAAGAGGTTGTTTCCCACGGGATCGGACGGTTCTCCAGGTGAACGGGGCCAGCGCCGAACAGGTTGTTTCTTCCGAGCCGGACCCTTGCCCGTTTTCTTCGCGAGGAGGTTTTCTAATTTCTCTCTGTTCTCCTGCTCATCCTTTTTCTCCTTCTGAGAGTTTCACGCGCGCTTCAACATCGGGGGCGCAATCTTGACGCGCTCGTAGACCATGGAGACACAGCATTGACGCGCGCATTTAAACGTATGCTGCTTGTTTATTCGTATGCATCTATAATTACATTTTTTCCCACTGGTGCTAGTGCTCCCTCTACTACTGCTGCTGTTGCTGCTCGTCCGCCTCATACTGTTGCTGTTGCTACTAGTGCTACTATTAGCCATTACTACCTACTACAACAGCCTACTAGCACTATTATAACTACGACTAGTATAGCTACTTCGGCTGAATATTGCCACCATCGCTACTATTACAAGTATCAGTACGACTACTGCTACTACTTCTAATTAATACTGCTACTGCTGCTACTACTGCTACTACTACTACTACTACTACTACACGTAAGCCCACGATTAATACCATGACGATTAAGACTGCTACGGCTGGTACCGCTAGTATTTCGGCTACTATTGCTACTGCTACTATTACTGCTGGTACTACTACTACTACTACTACTACTACTACTACTGCTACTACTACTACTACTACTACCAATACTGTTACTATCACTACTACTTCTACAAGTAAGTCCACGATCAATGCCATGACGATTAAGACTCCTACGACTGGTACCACTAGTATTAGGCTACTACTACTACTGGTATTTTTACTGCTACTACTATTATCATTACTACTACTACTACTACTACTACTACTACTACTACTACTACTACTACCATTAGTATTATTTCTACTGCTAGTACTACTACTGCTATCACAATTACTATTACTACTACTACTACTACTACTACTTGTGCTACTGCTACTACAACTAGTATTATTACTACTATCACTACTGTGACCCCTGCGTCTACCTCCACGAATTCTGTTTGCTAGCGCTACTACTTCTAGGGCTATTATGATTAGCGCGGCTTTTCTGACCATTGCTGTTATCAAGACTATTATTATTGCGTTGAATAGTTTTGACTACTACGGTTACTGCTACTACTGCT